TGCTGCTGGCTGGCTGGCACAGCGCCGGGAGCCCCCACACACCGCTGCCCCCAGCCCGCCTCTGCCCTGTGCTCGCCAAGGGCTTTACCCACCGACCAGGCTTGGCAACAGGGATTTAATTAGGGAGCTGGGCCGGCTCAGGCAGAGCGACCCAGCCAGTAACTGCTCCATCAGCCCCGTTCCTCCCAGCAGGTTCTCACCATTAAGACGCGGGAGCAGGATACTGGAGGCAAAGATGTTCATTATGGACTGCAGCATTCGCACCTAGGGAGCGGAGAGGGGGAAGGAAAAGAGCTTTAGGCTGCAGGAGAGCAGAGGACCAGGTACCAGGGGATAATTAGGGAAATAAATAGAGATGAGGAGTTATGATGGGCACACACTTTTCCAGAAACCAAGAGCTTTGTCTGGCCATGTGGGTGGGATAGGAAGTGTAGGGGTGAGAGAGGCAATGGCGTGGGGCTCTGCACCCACTCCCAGCCCCACAGGCTGAGGCAGGAGGGGTCTGTGGGGTCAGCGTGGGGTCCTGAGCGCACACCCAGGTCCCACGTTGGGTTGCAGAAGGGAACGAGCCCTCTCCTTGACCCCCAGCAGGCTCTCATCTCCACCCTGTGGGTCTGCTCGTGGTCAAGGACAGCTTACCTGGAAAGCGCCAACGTCGGATTGCTTCAGAGAGAGCTTCAACCTGTGCAGAGACACAAGTGGTGCTGTGAAGGAGGGAGCAGTGCCCACCCTGGTGCCACTCGTCCATGGCCACACGGATCCCGCTCCCCCCACCCCAGCTCATCCTCTCTGCACCAGGCCCAGATCCCTGGGACCTCCTCACCTCTGTCCCTGGGAGCCCAGAGCAGAAGCACCCCCAGCCAGCCCCTGCCCAGCAGCAGCTCCCCTCTGTACCTGCCCACCTCCAGGCTCCCAACTATGTGGCCGGATTTCACGTCGATGACCGCGGACACGTTGCCTGTCTGGGGAGAGAGCGCCGAGCTCCAGCAGTGCTCCCCCCACACCAGACACCCAGGGGAGCAGCTCCGACCACCCAAAACCAGAGCCGGGGCTGCACCCAGAGCTGCCCAGCCAGGACCATGGTCAATGCTGCAGGCTCAGCCTGAACTCACCAGGCTGAGGAGGAAGAGGGGAGCCAGGCTGGCGTTGGGGAGGATGGCATAAGCCTGGATATCCACGACAGGCCTGAGCGAGAGCCCCCCTGGCCCGATGTTCAGGAACGGGGCAGAGGGGGTGGACAGCCTGAGCTTCATCGGCGTCTCCGGGTACATCTTCTCCAGCTGCAGAGGGGCAGGGAGAGGGTGGGTGGGGACACGGAGACCACCCTGCCCAGAGCAAAGCCTGTGCACAGGGCGGGACCGCTCACCTGGGGAATGAAGGCTGAGAAGGTGGAGGTGTTCAAGTGGAATTCAACGCCCTTG